TAGGGCTTGGGGTTGCGAGGGAAGAGTAGGGTTTAGGGTTTGGGCTACCCGAAACGATTTGGTTGGGGTTTTGGGCTTAGCTCGTTTCTCAGCCCTAAAAAACCAAACACCTGGCAAATCGAACTTACACACCCAAGCAAGGGCCCTCGGCCTCCACATGGGTTCAGGGTTTAGGGCTATTCTCCTGAGCCCTAAACCCTAAACCCTACACCCTAAACCCTACACCCTAAACCCCAAACCCTACTCTACCGGGGAACCTTGGGGGGTCGAGGGTTTTACGGGCTTCGGGGGCTCCCAACCTGGAGGATCTACGCCGCAGGGAGACGGGGAGGAAGAGCCATGCGCCGAAGGCATGCTCTGCTTTTGAAAAGTTTGGCAGCCCAGGAACCACATGGTAGCCCTAAACCCTAAACCCTAAACCCTAAACCCTAAACCCTAAACCCTAAACCCTAAACCCTAAACCCTAAACCCTAAACACGAAGCCCTAAACCCTAAACCCTAAACCCCAAACCCTAGGCCGTAGTAGGTTACGTTGATAAAACGTGGCAACATGGTACCGTTGGGCTACCAAGTTTGGATCTGCTGTTCTGGGGGGAGAGGGGGGAGGCGAGGGGGGGGGGGGGGGGGGGGAAAAAAGGTTTAAGGTTTAGGGTTTAGGGTTTAGGGTTTAAGGCCCAAAACACAGCATTTCGGGTTGCGCTTATAAGTAGTAAGTTTGGAGGATTTGAAGTCGACTTAGGGGTAGGGTTTAGGGTTAAGGGTTAAGGGTTTCGGGTTCAAGTAGTCTATACTTCAGTTGTGTGCCCCACCCAGCAGCATCCAAGCGCCACCGTGCTCAATTGTAGGAATCACGAAGCAAATGGCGCAAAATGCCAAGAAGAAGGCGTAGAAGGAATAGTCCAACCGAATGACTGTTCCTGCAAACTCTAGCAGATTAATGCCGAACGCGTAGAGGATGAAGGTCTGCAAAGCTGCGAAGACAATGACCTGGGGCTTGCATTCAAAATCAAAGTCGCCGTTGTCGATACTCAACACTAGCGACGAATTCGTACTAGGAAGCATCATAAAAAAGAAGTCACACTTCCGAACAACCCACCTCGATCAGTATCGCGATAGCATTGCCCACCATGCCATCGACATATTGAAGTCGGGTCTCATCTGCGAAGCGCAAGAAAAAGACACGATTGTGCCCGAAAGTGTCGGAGTGCAGGGCTGTCGCCATCAGCATGTAGAGCAGTGGCACAAAAAGTTCGCACAACTCGACTACAGCGAGGGCAACCAAAGAGTGCGTTAGCCGTTTCAGCAGAAAGGCGTCCGCGCAGGCAACATCGCTCGAGCTCACCTGTGGGTGGTTCTACGTGATACCCTAAACCCTGTCTCCCATATTCTAGTAGGCTCCATCTTTTTAAAGGGAACCAGACGTAAGTCATGATACAGCACACCCCTTCTTACATGGAAGACTAGACTTCTAAACCCTAAACCCCAAAACCAAAAAACTAAACCCTAAACCCTAAACCCCAAGCCAAAAAATGAATTTCAACCAACCGAGACCTCCGCTTGAGTCTGGCTCTCTACCTCCTGGACGATGCACCGGACCCTCTGACAGAGTCTCTTCGTGGCTCCCGGCTTTCTGGCCAGGCCTTTTGGGGTTTAGGGTTGAGTGCTTTGGGGTTTTTCGAGGGTTTATCGGGCTAAACCCTAAACCCTAAACCCTAAACCCTAAACCCTAAACCCTAAACCCTAAACCCTAAACCCTAAACCCTAAACCCTAAACCCTAAACCCTAAACCCTAAACCCTAAACAGGTCCTTTCCCCGCAGCAGAGATGTAGCTCCAGCAGGACCAACTTGATGGGCTGCCATGCTGAGGCTCCACCTGGGGTTTAGGGTTTAGGGTTTAGGGTTTAGGGTTTAGGGTTGAGGCTTGAGGGATTAGGGTTTAGGGTTTGGAGTTTAGGGTTTAGGGTTGACAGCAATTTTATAGGGTTTGGGTCCCCATAACTTCTTGTCCGACAGTCTTGAACGAACAGTTTTGGACCGAAACGTTTTTTGACTTTAGAGCCTGTGTTGTCTGTTTGGGTTTAGGGTTTAGGGTTTAGGGTTTAGGGTTTAGGGTTTAGGGTTTAGGGTTTAGGGTTTAGGGTTTAGGGTTTAGGGTTTAGGGTTTAGGGTTTAGGGTTCAGGGTTTAGGGTTTAGGGTTTAGGGTTTAGGGTTTAGGGTGTAGGGTTTAGGGTTTAGGGTTGAGGGTTTAGGGTTTAGGGTACTCTAACGCAGGCTCCGTTCGAAAGAGCCTCGGACGCTCACAGCCCAAGGCCGGCCCAACATCCAAAGCAATGCGGTTCAGGGTTTAGGGTTTAGGGCTTAGGAGAATGTATAGGGTTTGTGTCCGGAGTTTTGGGGGGGTTTGGGCGGGTTTTGTTGTTTGCTTTTGCTCCAATGGTTTGGGCGGGAATCTTGCCATTCGTCTTGGGTGGTTTTGGGAGGTTTGGAATTGGGGCCTGCTGCGTTCTGGGGGCTTCCCTGGTACCTTTTGCGCCTCCTGTGGCCTTTTCGGGCTTCCTGGTACCTTTTGGGGGAGGCTTGGGGCCTTTTGGGTTGGGGCCTTCTGGGGCATTTTGGGGCCTTGTGGGGCTTCCTGGGGGCTGCGGTGGCAGCCTTGCTGGCATCTTTCGGAATTGAGGGTCCTTTTGGTGCCTGAGAGTCATCTTTCTTTTTGTCCTTTCTCGATTGTGAAGGAGGAAGGACTATTTTACGAGCTGCTCGACATGAGTCGCAGACAATTTGTATTCATCCTGGCCTGAGGGTTTAGGGTTTACGGTTAAGGGTTCAGGCTTTAGGAACCCAACATCCAAGCAGTTCTCGGGCTCCCCCGTATCCACGGACTCAAGGAGGGACCCTTATAAGGGACCTGAGGGGTAACAGGGGTTATTTAGGTGCTACTTAGACTCAGGTTTATACTGTACTGGGGACTCTAGGAGGTCTGTCTGAGGGTTATATAAAGGTTGTAAGCACAGGGCAAGAAGGTTCATGGTGAAATAGGAGAAGATATGGAGTGGAGATGTATAAGTGTGACAGGGGAGTAAGGCTGAGGCTAGAGAAGGGGTTCCTCCTTATACCCAAGGTCTGTCGAAAGAATAAACAGGGCCCTCCCTTTTACGCCTGTATCCCTGAGTAGGAAAGACCTCTGGGAAGTCAAGCAATCGATCTGCAAACGCTAAACCCTAAACCCTAAACCCTAAATCCTATAACCCTAAACCCTAAACCCTAAACCCTAAACCCTAAACCCTAAACCCTAAACCCTAAACCCTAAACCCTAAACCCTAAACCCTAGCCCTAAACCCGAAACTCTTAACCCCAAATCCGAAACCCCAAACCCCAAACCCCAAACCCCATCCTCTTGGACAACTGACTGCCCCGGCCTCAGCAAGGCGCTCTTCGGCGTCCAAGATCTGAAGAAGCTCCACGAGCATCTTACCTTGGGATTTAGAGTTTAGGGCTTAGGGTTAGGGATTTAGGGTTTAGGGTTGGGCGTTTAGGGTTTCGGGTTTGGGATTTGGGATTTGGGGTTTAGGGTATTGGGTTTAGGGTTAGGGGTTTAAGGTTTAGGGTTTGAAATTTGGGGTTTAGGGGTTCAAGGGTTCAGGGGTTCAGGGGTTCAGGGGTTTAGGGGTTCAGGGGTTTAGGGGTTTAGTAAGGGGTTTAGTAGGGGGTTTAGGGGTTTAGGGGTTTAGGGGTTTAGGGGTTTAGGGGTTGAGGGGTTCAGGGGTTAGGGGTTTAGGGTGTAGGTTTTTGTTCACCCTTTTTCTAACAGTCCTGAAATGGGGATTAAAAAAGGGGGGGGGGGGGGGGCACTGGAATCCGTATTTGTAAGGGCGAACATCCCAAATCTTACCTTATACTTACTCCACAACCAGGCGGGGGAAGAAGGGTTAAACTTGACTATTCCTACAGAATAAACCCTAAACCCTAAGCCCTAAGCCGTAAACCCTAAACCCTAAACCCTAACCCTAAACCCTACGCCCTAAGCCCTAAACCCTAAACCCTAAACCCTAAACCCTAGATAAGGAAGCCCGTCAAGCCTAAAGTGCAACTACTGGCTAAGTAAGACAACGTCCGGCCCTGGATACAGAAAAAGGGTTTTAGGGTTTAGGGTTTAGGGTCTAGGGTTTAGGGTTAGGGTTTAGGGTTTAGGGTTTACGGCTTAGGGCTTAGGGTTTAGGGCCCTTGGTTGAAATGCAGGGTATAGGGATTTACAAGGTCAAACTCAAGGGTTTAGTTTGGGTCTCAGGTATGTGAAGAACGAAACGAGCATTCCCAGCGCCATGACCCCCCAAAAACAAAGACACGGCTGTTCTACGGGCCGCTGTCTAGTTGGGGGTCCTGTGTGTTAGAGCTACTAGAGAATCGGGAAAAAAGGTAGTATTTGCTTGAGAACCACCCCAAAAAGAAACAGTGGAAAAAAAAAGAATCTTCTTATTTATCAAGGCAATCTAGGGATGATTGGTTTCTCTTTTGAGGTTCTTAAGCTAAATGGTAGAAACTGGGTCCTTGTTGGGGAGATATTAAAAATGATCACTTTTCATCCTTATTGGGTTTTATGATAACAGGGTTTAGCGTTAGGGTTTAGGGTTTACGTTTTTTTCGGGTGTCGGGTGTAGGGTTTAGGGTCCAGGGCTGAGCGGTTAGCCCAGGTACAGGTCGCCACCAGTGCTTTACCTGGTCAAGGGAGGAGGGTTTGGGGACTGAGCATGTAGGGATACCCTCAACCCTCAACCCTATGCAATAATTAGGCTGGAGCTTCAAGGTAGTGTGTGTGTGTGTTCTTTCAAACACAGAAACCCCTAAACCCTAAACCCCTAAACCCTGAAACCCTAAACCCTAAAACCCTAAACCCGAAACCCGAAGCCCTAACCCCTAATCCCTAAAACCCTAAACCCGAACTGGGCCTGCATCCAGGACAGCTATGACCACGACCACCGTGAGGCTCTTGGCAGTGGACATGAGGCTGGCTGAGAAGAACCTGGGTAGCCCAGGAACCATGTTGTCGTAAGGGGGCTTAGGGTTTAGGGTTTAGGGTTTAGGGTTTAGAAGGGAGCCTTGAACCAACAAAAAGGGGGAGAAGGGTACCACGGGGCTTCCAAGGAGCAGGCTCATGAAGAATGGACCGACTTTCAAGTCAGCCAGCAAGTACCTTCAGGGGGTTCGGGGAAGCTGGGTTTAGGGTTTAGGGTTTAGGGTTTAGGGTTTAGGGTTTAGGGTTGAGGGTTTAGGTTGAGGGTTTAGGGTTTACACCCTTATATACCCTATACAACCCAAGAGCTCATACTTCAGAACCCGAGGTAAGGGAGGGACCAAAGTCAGGGCCGGTATACCCCCTGAGCTTGGAGGAGGAGGGGTTGCGGGGAAGATTTGTTGGCCTCCCAACCCTCGACCCCAAGGGTTTAGGGTTTAGGGTTTAGGGTTTAGGGTTTAGGGTTTAGGGTTTAGGGCAAGGGCTGACCTGTATCCCCCTCCCCTGCGTTTTGGTATCCCGACTCACTGAATCAAAGCAGAATCTTCCCCAGGTTGTTGTATGATGAATACACCGCCGCGTGAGCAAAGGTCCACTCAAATCATTGCACGTGCCCAAAGCCCCGGTTTAGGGTTTAGGGTTTAGGGTACCATATTCACAAAAAGAGCTACATATCTCGTGAAGTTCATGGCATTCGTTTCATGCTGTAATGGAACCCCCACGTGCTACATCTGTTAACTCAGGGCTGCAGGAAGATTTACTGTATTTTTCCTAGCTCTTTCGACAGGCTTTAAACAATAATGTCTTTCAGGGAGTTCTTAAGATTATGATATTCAATACCCATTACGATTCACCCATGCTGCCTTAAACCTGGCACATTGGCTCATGAATGAACAAGCGTGACAGGTAAGACCTTGAAGAGTAATTGCAGAGCACCCTAAACCCTACAGCTTAAAGTCTTCGACATCCCGACTTCATGAGCCTTCGTCCCCCGCCTGGGACATGGACTGACACAGGGGGGGTCGGGTAAGGTCGGGAACAAGGCTTTTATGCCTCAGCTAGTTGTTGTTTGGGCGGTTTAGGCGTTTAGCGCTTAGGGCTTAAGGACTTTAGGGATAAGGGTTTAGGTCTTACTTGCTGAGTTCATAAACCCCCCAAAACAGTGTACACTTTCAGTTCTATAAGGGATTATAGTATCCCAAACAAGTGCAAAGTGTACTCACTCAGCAACTTTTTAAAGGGGTTCAGGGTTAATAAGGGGTTTAGGGGTTAGGGGGTTTCGGGGTTAGAGGTGTAGGGGTTTCGAGTTTAGGGTTCAGGGTTTAGGGCTTGGGGTCTAGGGTTTAGCGTCTCCGGGTTTCGGGGGAACTGCCTGGGTACGCCCCAGCAACCCGCGAGCTTCTCCGTCAGCTCCGCCGCGGCCGCAACCAGGGCGCCGATGCCCACGGTGCTCAAGCTCTGCCAAGCCCTCGCAGCAGCTTAGGGCTTAGGGCTTAGGGCTTAGGGCTTAACGCTCAGGGTCAGGGCTCAGGGCTCAAGGCTCAGGGCTCAGGGCTTCGGGCTCAGGGCCTAAGGCCTAGGGCTTAGGACTTAGGGTCTCGGGTTTCGGGTTTAGGGCTTATAGGGTGTATGACTTGCCGGCTCTTAGTAGTGATTTTGGGAATTCGTTGCCCTCTAACTCCTCAAGAAATCCGCTCCCTCCCGATAAGGAAACCATTTAGTCCCCGTTCCCGAGTACGAACTGTAGGTAGGAAGCGCTGAAGATTTTGGCAGTTTTGCGGGGCTTGAAGTTTATGTTCAATGACTGAAACCCTATACCCTAAACCCCAAGCCCTAAGCCCTAAACCCTAAACCCTAGCAAAATCCTAAACCCATCTGGCAGCTCCCTTAAACATAGACCCAGGAGCTCTGGAAGATCGGGAAAGGCTGCCGCCCAAAGCAGGAAGCATACCTAGTTCATGGTTGGGATAATATTAGAACATGTATTTTTATTCCTTATTGGGTTTAAGTACCCTTGAAAATGAAAAATGTTACCCAACTATGACAAAGATACGTACTGGAGGGCCCAAAGCCCCCAGATGACGACTGCAACGACCTTGAGCCACACAGCCTGGCAGCTAGGAACCCCACCTGTCAACCCTCAACCCTAACCCTAAACCCTAAACCCTGAACCCTAAATCCTGAACCCTAAATATTTTGCAGCTTCGGTTTAGGTCGGGCTGGGAGGGTTTCAGATCGCAGCGTGTTGGGTGAAAGCGCTGCTTGAATTTAGGGTTTAGGGGTTTAGGGTTTGGAGTGTAGGGTCGTTGAAAGTTTGGGGGGAGCTTGACAGTGTGAAGGGTGGGATCCTAGTTTGGTTTTGGGGTTTGTCTCTCATAGGTTCAGTTGGGACAATCTAAACACCAAGCCCCTAAACCCTAAACCCGAAGCCCCCCAAACCCTAAACCCTCAACCCTAAACCCTCAAACCTCAACCCTAAACCCGAAACCCTACCCAGTAAACCCTTACCCTCTAGGTGCGGATCTCGAGTTTGGGGTTTAGGGTTTAGGCTTTGGGGCAAGTTTAGGGTTAGGGTTTAGGGGTTTGGGGTTTAGGGCTTCGGGTTCACGGCCCCATCTTCTTCGGGCCTCTTTCGTCAGGAGCTCAGGCGGCAGCGATCGCATGTAGATGGCCATGGCGACCCACAACGCCGGCAAACAGGAAGTGACCGCCGCCATGGGAATCGGGTACATGGCGTTGGAGAGGACCTAGGATCGATAACAGCGAGTTGCACAACAATTATGTCCCTTTCTCGGATCTCTATAGGCCTTTGGCGCTCGTCAGCTTGCGCATATGTATATACACAAGATATCGAGCACCAAACTCAAAAAGGGATCGTCATTTGGCCCCCCCCACCCCCCCTCCACACCCCCCCACACCCCCTCCACACCCCCCACCCCCCCCACCCCCCCCCACCCCCCCTCCACCCCCCCCCACCCCTCCCCCCTTTAACCCCGCTGCCCTTCCTCCCCTTTTTTTGCGTAACCTTTCCTGTCCTGGGGCCGGCCCGGCTGCCGAGGCGGCGCGCGCAAGCGTTTATTAAACCCTAAACCCTAAACCCTAAACCCTAAACCCTAAACCCTAAACCCTAAACCCTAAACCCTAAACCCTAAACCCTAAACCCTAAACCCTAAACCCTAAACCCTAAACCCTAAACCCTAAACCCTAAACCTAAGAAGGCTTAGGCCCCCAACACAACAACAGACCCCAGAGGGCCAACGTGCATGTGCAGAGGATCCCAAAAGAAGCTCCTGTACGGCTGAGGGCCTTACTTCATGTCGGGACCCAGGGTAGCGACCGTTCTAGAAGCAGGGTTTAGGGTTTAGGGTTTAGGGTTTAGGGTTCAGGGTTGAGGGTTTAGGGTTTAGGGTTTAGGCGGTTTAGGGTTTTGGGCTTAGGCTTTAGGGCTGCGCGGGTGGCCCCCCTGGAACACTTCGCAGGCGAGATGCCATGTGAGCGAGCAGGCACACACACGTTGTGCTGAGCGGAACAAGCCGGAGGATCCACCTGGACGTGGCTGGAGCTTAGGATATGATTACAGGCTCTGAAGGGTTGGAGGGGGGGGGGGGGGGGGGTCCTCAAGGGTTTAGAGTTTAGGGTTTAGGGTTTAGGGTTTAGGGTTTAGGATTTATGGTCGAGGGTATGTAAGCCAAGGTTCCCTACTGCTCTCCACTCATCCCGGAGGTTCCCTAGGTACATGTTTTTCATGAACCCCCTTCCCATAAGGACCCCATAAGTTCAGGGTTTTGGGTTTTTAGGGTTTAGTCTCAGAATTCAGAGTAACTTCTTAATTTCTGATTTAACTACTAGGGTCTTCCCGGACCACATGCAAGAGTATGTACTTGTTTGGAGTGCTTCTCTACCATACAGCCCAGAACCCCCCAACGCGATAAACTGGAAAACAAGCGGTGCAAATACTGCTGGGTAGCCTCCGTGAAGGAAAGTCATTGGGGTTGCTGAGCAAGTCTGAGACGTTTCGGAGAGTCTCTCTTCCGAACGATCTTCTTGTCTCGTGGATAGACTACACAAGAACGGACCAAGAAGTCGAGCAGATGTGCTCGTGTCATAGGCTGCTAGGCAGGGACCACCCACTTAAAGTAAAACACAAAAGCAGGATTAGGGTTAGGGTTTAGGGTTTAGGGTTTAGGGTTTAGGGTTTAGGGTTTAGGGTTTAGGGTTTAGGGTTTAGGGTTTCGGGTTTAGGGCCACAGGGCTTCCGGCCCACCTGATGCGGTGTCGGTCCTGGCGGTTGAAGGCCCTGGCCAAGCTTTCCAGCTGCCCTCTGGCGATTGTGTAGTTGAGAATGGGGTGGCTCACCTGGGCAAGCTCCATAACCTTTAGGGTTTAGGGTTTAGGGTTTAGGGTTTAGGGTTTAGGGTTTAGGGTTTAGGGTTTAGGGTTTAGGGTTTAGGGTTTAGGGTTTAGGGTTTAGGGTTTAGGCCCAGTAACCTAGGCTTAAAAAGGGTGCCCTTTTTTGCTTAAAGGGGTTTATAAGGGAGCCTAAACCCCCCCCAAAAAAAGGGAATAAGGATACGACTGGGCATCCCAGTCAGCTTGGCAAAGTCCATAACCTTTAGGGTTTAGGGTTTAGGGTTTAGGGTTTAGGGTTTAGAGTTTAGGGTTCAGGGTTTAGGGGCCCTCCCCTTAGCTACTATTTGCGTAGGCACCCCCAAAGCATGAAAGACATGAATCCCTATGTTGCCCTTATGAGGAAGACTTTTTTTTTTTTTTTGGGAGGGGGGGTTTCTTAAGCAACAAGTAGTTAACCTAAACCCCAACCCCAGACCCTCAACCCTACAAACCCAAGAATCCCTCAAGCCTTAAACCCCAACCAAGAATCCCTCAAGCCTTAAACCCCAACCCGCAAACCCCCCCCCTGACCCTTGGCTGACTTCTGGACCCCGCCTGAAAGTTTAACCTTTACCGCGCCATGGTAGGCCCCTTATTGTCGTTTGCTACCAAAAACCCAAAAGGCGCAAGTCCTAAGAGCCACCAGCCAGAAGGAAAGCCAGGTCACAAAGTTGAAGTTCCAGTTGTGCCAGAATCCGTCTTCAGGCTTTGCCAGTGGGGTGAAGACGCAGAAGGCAAAGCTCATCGAAGCAATCGCAGGCAAAAGGCTGAACATAACAGCAAGGCTCCTGCCTAGCCGGCAAGCTGCTGTTGACCCATTCGCACATCGATCCAGCAGGTAGTGCACCATCTGGAATTCCACCATATCCTTGGTAGCACAGCAACCATAACATTACAGCGGTACCCTATTTGGGGCTGGCTATTCAGGGAACCTGGAAACAAAAACATGGGCAAAAGTGTACCACTGGGCCACCAAGTATCCGGGAACTTGAGCTTCGGCGGGATCACCGGAGTGATTGAGACCACCGGCTGGAAATCCAGATCGTTGATTACCGGTTGCACGCGGCGAGAAGCTGGGCGAGAGCATGAGAAACAGCAGGCGCGGCTCGGCTTCTCCAAGGATTTCTGCTCCTCCGCATCTTCCACGGCGGTTTCTGGGTGGTGGCCTGTGGCGGCCGGGCCACCGACACCGGCGACAGCGCTCTCCCGGCTCGGGCCTGATGGGCTTTCTCTCTCGTCTGCAGCCACGGTACGAGACATGGGCTCGGCCGGTGTGCTGTTTGAAGTGATGAAGTGATAGTCTGAAAGCACTTTGCTTGCGTGTGATCGACATCTCTTACAGTGACCTGCCCATTGATAAGATTTAATTGACAACGGGCACAAATACTAAACCCTAAACCCTAAGTCCGGGTTTCACGTTCATCCTGAGTCTGTGGATGACATGTCTGGGTCCTGACTCTCTGTACGTGCTGAGCACGCCCAAATGGCACAAGTGCAGGTGGAGACCCTAAAGCTGAAGCAACATTCGCATCCTCATCTTGCTGCAGGAGTAGGATCCCCATCATAATGAGGACCCCACTCCGGGACCCTAATATCGCAACACCCCCGAATCCCCCAATATGTCGTGCCACAGCGGCACACCATTCCGAAAGAAGAAGCAAGCCCAGTCTGCTCTAGAATGATCTGCCCTTCTCGTGGGTTTGTTACTTTGCTTTATGAAGTTTAAAACCCTAGAACCTGAAACCCTAAACCCTAAACAGAGGTCTCGAGCTCCGAAAGCAGGATGTTGTAAGCGCTTAGAACCAGGAGTGCCCAAAATCCAGCATTAGACAGATGCACCGTCCAACCCTAAGCAAGAACCCGCGGTAGGGTTTAGGGTTTAGGTGCAGGGATGTTTCGTGAGTACAAGAGATCCCGAACCCCCTACACTACGACAGCCCTCGCGAATTTATGCAGACCGAGATGAGTTTTAACCCAGACTTCGGCGCCAAAACGTCCATGGAACGGGCCTTAATCACATAGCCGAAAAGGGCCTTGCCAAGCCCATTTAGAGCCCATTTGCAACACTTTCGCCAGTCCCAAGACCAAGATTGAAGGTGATGTTGCGGGTTTATATGATTTAGGGAGCAGGTTTAGGGTTTAGGGTTTAGGGGTTAGGGTTCAGGGTTTAGGGTCTAGGGTCTAGGGTTTAGGGTTTAGGGTTTAGGGTTTAGGGCGGTAGGGCGTAGGATTCGATACTCCGCTTCTCGCTTGAGGTTGGGCGGGTTGTAGAGTTGGGCGGTTGTAGGTTCAGTGGCTTTCCGACTTCTTAGAAACCAGGTAGCTCAGTAACCATATTCCAATTAGGGTACCCTTTTTTGGGTTGGTTACTTTTTTAGGGAACCTTGAAACAAACAACCTGGGAAAAGGGTACCATTGCCCTAAGGGTCCATGTACCTGAATTTCATATACTTGGGCCCCAAAGTCCTTACACAGGAAGTACTTTAAGGCTCAATTATTCCCGATTTAGGTACATGGACCCTGAACCCTAAACCCTAAACCCTAAACCAGAATTCAGGAACGCACCTTAAACACCCTTAGAGCCTTTCGGGGTTCTGTGGCCATCTGGGCCTTTCCCAAGATAGGTGGTATACCACTAATGTACCCCCAAACTACTCTAATCCCTATTACGGGAGCCCCCAAGAACTCTGCAGGCTGGTGGGCTTGAGGGTTTAGGCTTTAGGGCCTTTTTTCCTCATGTGCTCATATGGGTGCATTTTGAAGTTGGTGAGCTTCGTTCTAAGAGTGACCCAGAGCCTTTTCCCGTAGCCTTAAACCGCCTTTAAACCCTAAACCTTAAGGGTTTAGGGTTTAAGGTTTAGGGTTTAGGGGAAACGAAAGGCAGGACCTAGGACAACATCGCACACGTCTTTTCACACTTGCTTCAGCGGGTACGTTGCTGATTGCTTGTGAAGACTTGGTAGCCCAGAAACCATAGCACAATGACGGCACCCTTCTTTAGGTTGGTTCCTTTATAAGAGAGCCCAGAACAACAACAAAAAACGGCAAAGGGTAACTCGGCTACCAAGGAGATGTCCCACTTTGGGACCAGCAAAAACTTCTTACCCAAACCTTGCTTGCTGGGGTTTTTCTTGCTCCTAAAAGGCCTGAGAGGAGTCGAAGGGTTTAGGGTTTAGGGTTTAGGGTCTAGGGTTTAGGGTTTAGGGGTGAGGGTTTAGGGGTTAGGGGTTAGGGGTTAGGGTTTAGGGTTTAGGGTTTAGGGTTGAGCCTCCAAAAGACTACCAAAACAACTCTTAAGGTGGAGTACAGTAAACTCCAGAAAGTTGGAACGTGGCTCAAGGATGATTAGAGCTGGGATTCCCTTTGGTAGGCCTCCTGCGGTATGGGGATACGGACGTTCCAACATCGTTGGGAGTTTACTGTAAGCTCACAGTAAGAGGAAAGCTCGAAGCAAGACTTGGGATAGGGGATGAACCGAATGAAGGGCCGCTCGCTGAGGGCGCCGCAATCAGCTTTCAGAAAACTGATAAGACAACGGCCCATCTGCAAACTGCCTTCAGCAGTTGTGCAGGGGTCCAAGTCCCAACCCAAAGGATCCATGTACCTACAGTGTATACTTGGGCCATAACCCTAAACCCTAAACCCTAAACCCTAAACCCTAAACCCTAAACCCTAAACCCTAAACCCTAAACCCTAAACCCTAAACCCTAAACCCTAAACCTTAAACCCTAAACCTACCATGTAGGAACCCCCTTAAGGCCCCAAGTATATCCTACATAGGTACATGGATCCTTAGGGCAAGGGAAGCGGAAAAACGCCCGCAGCATCCTGCGCCTGTGGGCACTTCAAAATGCCCCAGAGGCCCCAAGACCTCTTAAGGGGTTTAGGGTTTAGGGTTTAGGGTTTACGGTTTTAAGCCTTAAACCATACAAGGTACCCTCTTATGTTTCAAGACAAATATTCCTTGAATGAAGGGGTATTGGAGTCCCTGGGGTGCAGAGCTGTACACAGACCGAACGTCCTGATCAAGGTCGCCGATTCTCGGCGTGCTGGTGTTAAGTCTAGGGTTTAGCATTTAGGGTTTAGGGTTTAGGGTTTAGGGGTTTAGGGTTTAGGGTTTAGGGCTTAGGGCTTAGGGATTAGACGAGTTGGGGGCTTTAACTTGGCATGTTCCCCCTTATACTAACAGTCCTTAGTAGGGATTATAATCATGGGGGGGGTTATATAATCTGCTAGTATAAATCCCTAAACCCTAAACCCTAAACCCTAAACCCCTAAGGACTGTTCGTATAAGGGGGAGCATCCCAAGTTTTGACATCAACCGGAAGCCCTGGAGGGTTTTAGGGTTGAGCTTCCCTCCGGTTCTTCAGGTGCAATGAAACTGATGGATTTAGGGTTTAGGGTTTAGGGTCTAGGGTTTAGGAATTAGGCGGTAGGGTTTAGGATTTAGGGTTTAGGGCTTAGGGTTTAGAGATGAGTGTTTAGGACACTTCGGAGGACATTAGGATGGAGGGTTGACGGTTCTTCTCGGTCTTGCAACGGTGGTCGTTGCGGGACTTATCTGGTTACTGCTCTAAGATATGGTCCCTTTTTTGGGGTCCTTATTGTAAGGCGGCCCCTCTTATTTAGGGTACCCCGAAAGGTGACCATTATTTTGACAAGTGACCATATGGGGTGTCTCTGAAAAAAGGGGTACGGCGAGTTCCTACGGTCAGGATTACATCCTGTCGGGGTGAATCCCCCTACCTTCGGGAAATGCCCTTATTGAAGGCTTCAGCGGAAGGGACTTTCGGAGAGCTCTGCAAACTGCTGAATTCGAGCCTTTGGTACCCGTTCTCAATGCTCTCTAACCCCTAGACCCTAACCCCTAACCCCTAACCCCTAAACCCTAAACCCTAAGCCTTCATCCCTACGTCTTGAGCCCGAAACCCTCAGGACAAAAAAGGCAGAATTGGTGTCACTTGGGATGATCCCCCTTATACCAACAGTGCTTAAAGGGATTATACTAGGGGGTGCTATAAACCCTAAACCCTAAACCCTAAACCCTAAACCCTAAACCTACATCCTAACCCTAAACCCTAAGCAAAGTAAGCCCAAGCGCCTCGGGGAGGCCAAATGCTCAATTCACTTAAATCTCTGCTTGGGGGTTCATGGTAGATAGTAACCCAACTTAGTTGCTGAGTTGCTGAGTTCACAAGCCCCACAAAAGTGTACACTTTCAGTTCTATACGGGGTTATAGTATCCCCATAAGTGTAAAGTGTACTCATTCAGCTACTAAGCCAATGAAATTTTAACTGTACCGATACCCCAATTATAACCCTTTTAGGGTACTTAACGGGCGTTTAAAGTGGTTTATAACTACACTTATAATTGGGATAGAAGTACCCTAAACCTCCAAGGGGGCCCTTCCCCTCCAAGCTCCTAATTCTCCAAGCAGAAGCCCTCAGTCAACATTATTGTGCAAGATATTCGTTCTAGACGTTTAGGGTTTAGGGTTTAGGGTTTAGGGTTTAGGGTTTAGGGTTCTCAAAACTTTCCTTCGGAACTTCAGCTCCCACCTTCCGCTCGAAACTTTAGTCCAACAAATTTCGCTTCAAACAACATTCGCCCAACACTTTCGTTCAACACGTTTGTTTCTGGACGATTTCAATAAAGCAGGATTTAAACCCTAAACCCTAAACCCTAAACCCTAAACCCTAAACCCTAAACCCTAAACCCTAAACCCTAAACCCTAAACCCTAAACCGGGCCACCCCTCCTGGACCGGCCACTTCTCCTTTTTAGCACCCAGCCATGGGAGTATTGAACACACTTCGTTCGACAACAACTCGTTCAACAAAGGGTTTAGGGTTTAGGGTTTGGGGTTTAGGGTTAGGGTTTAGGGTTTTGGGTTTACGGTTTAGGGTTTAGGGTTTAGGGCCCCTGTGCATTCTCCCCCAAAAAGACAGCCCAAGGCGCTCCCTCTCCCTCCACACCAGCCGGGGTAAAGGGAACGTGGCGACTTCGAGAAGTACCTGCTCAGGGTTTAGGGTTTAGGGCTTAGGGTTTAGGGCTTAGGGCTTAGGGCTTAGGGTTTAGGGTTTAGGGTTTAGGGTTTAGGGTTTAGGGTTTAGCGTTTAGGGCTTAGGGCTTTGGGCTTCGGGCTCAGGGCCCAGGGGTTTTGGGGGATTGTAGGGGTTTAGGGGTTGTTTGCTGGAGATTTTGGTGAGCTTCGGGAACCTGTGCTCATGAACCTACAATGCAAGCCCTCGACAGTGTGC